GTACAGTACATGTATTGTTTAATTAAGAAAATACTGTTGGTAAACTATTAGTTTGAAACAACCCTCATAGTGATAATTGTGTCATTTATAAAATACCTTATAAAGACTGTAATAGGTTCTATGTTGGCAAACATCTGAGATTTGAAATGTAGAATTTTTCAACATAAATACTCTGTAAGACATGGCCAATTGTCTAATGCTTTGCTTGTTCATTTGTCAGAAAATTCTCACCAAATTGACTGGGAGATGGCTTCTTCAATAACGAATTATAAAACTACTTTCAATAGGAACTTAATTGAATCTGCTTTAATACAGATTACAAAATCATGTAATTTGAACATTAGCAGTGGTTTATATAATTTTGATCCATTTTTGAGTGATCAGTTAAAGGGCGAATTGAGTAGGATCATTGATACACATTTGTCTCACTAATTCATTGTTAATATCTACTATTTTATGCTATTATTATCCATGTATGAGCCTATTGATGCAACTCTTATATAATGTGCCCATATGATGCAGTTCTTATTTTATATCCACCTAATCCTATTCATATATTTGTCATTGTACCTCACTTCACTTCACCTCTCCCTCCTGCCTATACATGTCCAAACTTAGTGACTTGTAAATAATTCCTTCTAAAGATGTATTAATATACGAAAGTACTTAAGGAAATTCCTGTTTCAATTCCTCCTCCATGGTCTGACACTGTCATATACAGTATATACTGTATTATATTATATTATACACACACACACACAGATATATATATATATATATATATATATATATATATTATTAAATATGACCGAAAAAGTAAGATTAATAATTCTAACACGAATTTTCTCAATCTTTCGTACATTTCGTTTCACTGTTGGAGGTAAATCAAAAATCAATTCTCCAAAATTCATTTTTATTTCTAGTCTGACGCGACACGAGCGCGTTTCGTAAAACTTATTACATTTTCAAAGACTTTAGTTCACAAATACACAAGTGAATAGAACATACGCATCTCCGATTTTATATCTACATTTGAGTGAGGTGGAAGGGGTGATGTGGCATTAACACAAGACAGAACAAGATGTGGCATTAATAGGGTATTAATTTCATCAACACAAGAAAGAAAAAGAGTATTAATAGGGTATTAATTTCATCAACACAAGACAGAACACGAAACAATGGATATTGAATAGAAGTGTTTGTAGAAAGCCTATTGGTCCATATTTCTTGATGCTTCTATATTGGAGCGGAGTCTTGAGGTGGGTAGAATAAAGGTAAAGGTACCGCTTCTTGAGGTAAAGCGGCAGCTAAAAGCCTTCGTGAGAACAAGGAGATAGTTGTCAGGAGAGGTGACAAGTCGCCAATATATGTCATTCTTAAAAAAGACGAATATCTGGCGAAAATGAACATCATACTCTCTGACCAAACTAAGTTCCAAAGGGTAACGAAGGACACTACAGCCGAATTAAAAGCAAAGGTCAACAAACTGATCGAAACTGTGAACGCCAAGAAATCCGGACTCCACCTGCCAAAGATCATTGGGGAATATAAACCTGGATATGCGTATGGAAATGTCAAGACGCACAAGCCTGGAAACCCACTTCGGCCAATCATTAGCCAGATACCCACACCCACGTACAGACTGGCGAAGCGACTCAACGGCCTGCTGACTCCTTATGTTCCTTGCGCCTTCAGCCTGAAGTCTCCAAAGGAATTTGTTGACTTACTGCGGGGCACACGGGCCACAGGGATAAGAGCCTCGTTGGACGTAGAATCGCTGTTTACCAACGTACCTGTGGACGAGACAATCGGAATGATAGCCGACAGAGTGTATCGTGATCCAGCCTGTACTCCTCTTGACATACCAGAAAATATTCTGAGGAAACTACTCCAAGCTTGTACTAAAGAGGCACCCTTCTTGAGCCCGGATGGGCACATGTATAAGCAAGTAGATGGGGTCGCCATGGGTTCTCCCCTAGGTGTCCTGTTTGCAAACTTCTACATGGGTACCATCGAGCAAAAAGTCTTAGTCGACATGAACTTGAAACCGGCCATATACTGCAGGTATGTTGACGACATTTTTACACAGGTACCTGATGTCAGACATCTGCAGGAGCTGAAGGAGGCATTTGAGCAGAGTTCTGTGCTGCGTTTCACTTACGAGATGGAAAAGGATGGGAAGCTGCCCTTTCTAGATGTAACAGTCATGGAAAAGGGCGGAGGTTTCCACACTGCAGTCTACACTAAGGAAACAAACATAGGAATGTGCCTAAATGCCAACAGCGACTGCCCAGACAGGTACAAGAGGAGTGTTGTTAACGCATATGTCGACCGTGCTCTCAGCCACAGCTCAGAATGGAAGCAAGTCGACGAAGAACTCTGTAGGGTAAGGCAGGTCCTAGTCAATAACGGCTTCTCCAATGGTTTCGTCGAAGACATCATAAGAAGGAAAGTGAAAAGCCATGCAACCTCTGAAGAGACAACTAACACAACACCTATACCCCCTATTAGACTATTTTACAGGAACTTCTTTTCCACAGCTCATAAAACGGAGGAAAGGGTCCTGAAAGATAATGTTAATAGAAACGTTATCCCTACAGACAAAAATCAGAGGATACAACTGACGATTTACTATAAAACCAGAAAAACGGCCAGCCTACTCATGAGAAACTCTCCAGACACAAAACAGAACGCTTTAAAAGAGACTAACGTCGTCTATGCCTTCAAATGCCCTCTTGGGGACTGTAAGCTCCAAAAAACCCAGTATATAGGCAAGACAACAACATCTCTTTCTAGGCGTTTAACGATGCATAAGCAACAGGGCTCCATTAAGGAACATATAATCTCTTCCCACAACCAAACCATCGCCAGAGAAATCCTAGTAAACAACACAGAAATCATCGATAGCAGGCGGCTTGACGTTTGCGAGGCACTACACATCAAGAAGTCAACACCAGCAATCAACAGCCAATTATTGCACAACTATATTCTACCCACCTCAAGACTCCGCTCCAATATAGAAGCATCAAGAAATATGGACCAATAGGCTTTCTACAAACACTTCTATTCAATATCCATTGTTTCGTGTTCTGTCTTGTGTTGATGAAATTAATACCCTATTAATACTCTTGTTCTGTCTTGTGTTGATGAAATTAATACCCTATTAATGCCACATCTTGTTCTGTCTTGTGTTAATGCCACATCACCCCTTCCACCTCACTCAAATGTAGATATAAAATCGGAGATGCGTAAGTTCTATTCAGTTGTGTATTTGTGAACTAAAGTCTTTGAAAATGTAATAAGTTTTACGAAACGCGCTTGTGTCGCGTCAGACTAGAAATAAAAATGAATTTTGGAGAATTGATTTTTGATTTACCTCCAACAGTGAAACGAAATGTACGAAAGATTGAGAAAATTCGTGTTAGAATTATTAATCTTACTTTTTCGGTCATATTTAATAATATATGTCTACAGGAAAGACTGCTACCAAAATATACTAATATATATATATATATATATATATATATGTATGTCGTACCTAGTAGCCAAAATGCACTTCTTGGCCTACTATGCAAGGCCCAACTTGCCTAATAGGGTGAGTGATTTTCTTTATTTTCAACAAAAAAATTCCAATTGATTTTTTTAAATTATTTTCATTATATTATATTAAGAACATAAATTGCTGACAGTTATTTTAGTTTAGGTTAGGTTAAGATAGGGTAGGTTAGGTAGAGTTGGTTAGGTTCAGTCATATATCTATGTTAGTTTTAACTCAAATTAACAAAAAATGAACTCATGCATAATGAAATGGATAGATTTATCATTTCCTAAGAAAAAATATATAAATTCATGAAAACTTGGCTTATTAGGCAAACTGAGCCTTGCATAGTAGGCCAAATAGTGCATTCTGGCTACTAGGTACATTATATATATATATATATATATATATATATATATATATATATATATATATATATATATATATATATATATATATATATATATATATATATATATATATATGTCGTACCTAGTAGCCAGAACTCACTTCTCAGCCTACTATTCAAGGCCCGATTTGCCTAATAAGCCAAGTTTTCCTGAATTAATATATTTACTATAATTTTTTTCTTATGAAATGATAAAGCAACCCTTTTCTCTATGTATGAGGTCAATTTTTTTTTATTGGAGTTAAAATTAACGTAGATATTTGACCGAACCTAACCAACCCTACCTAACCTAACCTAACCTATATTTATAGGTAAGGTTAGGTTAGGTAGCCAAAAAAAGCTAGGTTAGGTTAGGTTAGGTAGGTTAGGTAGACGAAAAAACATTAATTCATGAAAACTTGGCTTATTAGGCAAATCGGGCCTTGAATAGTAGGCTGAGAAGTGCGTTCTGGCTATTAGGTACGACATATATATATATATATATATATATATATATATATATATATATATATATATATATATATATATATATATATATATATATATATATATATATATACACACACACACACACACACACACACACACACACACACACACACACACACACACACACACACACACACACACACACACACCCTGAAATCAGCAACTTCAAGAACAAACGGACACAGATCCAAGCTAAGGAAACAAGGGTACTGGAAGAATATTAAAAACTTTTCCTTTGCAAATTGAGTGGTAGATGGTTGGAACAAGTTAAATGAGATGGTGGTGGAGGCCAAAACTGTTAGTAGTTTCAAAGCATATGACAGAGTACGGGAAGACGGGACTCCATGAACGTAGCGCTCATCCTGTAACTACACTTAGGTAATTACACAAATACACATACTCACTCACTGTACAAGCAGACTCTAACAAATGTCTAGAACCACAAAAGCTATATTGATTCAGGGGGACAAGTGAATCTAATATAAACAACCCCCAAAACAGTGTGCCTGCTTCACCTTGTCTTCAAGGTAATAAGGCACCTAAAACTTTTCATCCAGTACTTGCCTTCCCACTCTAAACCAAGGGTACATTTTCAGAATGGTGGGTCACAATATCTTTAAACCATGCAGCACATCAATGGGTGATCATCAGCAAGAACCTGGTGCAGAATTATATTCTTGTCAGCTGATACTTAAAATAAACAAGGTTGTTTAACATTCAGCCTTAATAATACAGTACACTAAAAATACTGATAATGCAAAAATTCAAATACTCTTAGTTATAAATAAATGGCATGTATGAATTAAAAGAATAGCATCGAATGTAATGATATGTAATGATATGCCAATTTCTGAGTCCCTGTGGCTCCCTGAAGCTATATGCTTAGATGGTTATCATTTGCTGGGTTACATCAGCCATAGAGTTCTTAAGACCAACTGTAGACTAGAGCCAGAACCTGGTTGGAGTTGCCTCCTCACAGAATTACAGAGAGCAGTGACATTTATTTTTGCCACCTCACAAGGGAAGGCAACCAGAAAGTCAGCAAGTCAAAAGCTACTGCTGGATTCAAGAGAGACCAAAGCCTCAAAACCAGTCAGTAGAACTCTCCAGCTATGTAAAACATTATTTAATTTACTCTGAATTAGTACAAGCTTATTCTTCTGCCCAAACTCATTTGGAGGGAGGGAGTGAGGTAGATCACTGCCTGCTGGAGCCTCAGTTCCCAGTTCTAGGGCATATTTAGACAGCCACCCAATGACCTGGAAGAGAGAGAGGGGATCAGGGAGCCACTGGTTCTCGCCCAGAAATTAGCGTTTCATTACATTCAATGCTGGTTTTCTGAGGGAAGCCCCTGTGGCCCCGCACTGCAGGAATTAGGATGAGGATGGCACTCCCAGCTGAGAGACATGACCCAAGAAAACACAAAAATGCCAAGGCCTGAGAACATTTACCAAATACCAGACCATTAGAACCCTGTGTGACCAAAATCCATAGCCCAAATATCAGCCCAGGACATGTTCACAAACACAGCTAAAACCATGGCATACAACACTTTTGAATATCATATGCAAGCTGGCTATGCTCAGTATCACTGTAGACAACCTTGTAAATACTGTACAAGCCTTAGAACAGGGGACCTAGGAAACAGGGTATCCACCAAAGTAAAATTAGTGGCATGAAGGTAGGGGTGGCAAGCCACCACCAAACACCACAAATGATGCACCCCTGGCTGAACTAACCAAGCATCAATGAACAAAGGACCCCTCAGGAAGCCAACCGACTTGTTCTTCACCAGAAAGGAGGAGCCAGCTGCAAATGAACAGAATGTTCACTAGGCCAGAACAACAAAAACCCTGCCACTGGAGGAAGGTATAAAGCTCCCAACCCAACATCTGAAGGCAATAGAATCCAATAACCATGCCTTAGAAAAACAATTCTGAACCAAAGAAGACACTGTGAAGGGAACTATCAGAAGAAAGCATCAAGTCATTACAACTATATAGCACTTGGAAGGGATGAGACAGGGAAAACAAATGGTGCTCAACCACTTTGAAGGTTGGGGACTGAATGCCGACCTGCATGAAAGGAGAGCATAGCTGTACTATTCAACCCAAGTGGTTGGGCAGAGAAACTGTGAAACAAGAACAGGAAAGAAAAACGAGCACACAGTCCAAAGACCAGATAGGCACAGGTGGTAAATGAGCAGGCTGAAGGGGAAACAGGATATCGATGTAGAATGCAAGCTGTAGCAACTCCACCAGAACTGCAAGATATGAAGCAACAGTATTTGGCATGAGATGCCGATCAAGAAAAAGCCAAGAAAGAAAGAAGAGCACCACATGCTCAGAAACTGAAGAGCAGCAATATCATGCTCCAGCAGGCAGTGAGCTACCTCCCCCCTCCGTCCCAAATGAGTTGGGGAAGTGGGGGCAAATGAGCTCACACTATTTCTGAGAGAATTCATAGGTTACTTTACCTTGAGGTTACCTTGAGGTGTTTCCGGGGCTTAGCGTCCCCGCAGCCCGGTCGTCGGCCAGGCCTCCTGGTTGCTGGACTGATCAACATGATAGGTGGGAGAGTTTTTTGGCTGGTTTTGAGGCTTCTGTCTCTTTAGAATTCAGCAGTAGTTTATTTTGATTCCCCTGACTTTCTGGTTGATTTCCCAGGTGAGGTGCCAAAAATAAATATGACCACTCCCTGCGCCTCTGTGTGGGGGCCGGGTTCTATCTCCAGTTCCCGATAGGCCTCTAGAACTCTACGACTGATGTGATCCAGTAAATTGTAACAATCTCAACATATAGCATCAGGGAGCCACAAGGGGCTCCTTGCAAGGATATTCATTGCAATCACTACAAATATTTTAGGCAACAAAAGCTTTGCTACTTATTCCTATTTGTTGGTCAAAATTGTTTGCTTTTATTTGTTAATGCACACACCAGAAAACACTTTTGCTCATACTGTACTCTTATCTTGATGTTAAAATTACTTGGATAAAACTTATATTTAAAATATTTCTACTCCTCTTATGTTTCTCTGCTCCAAATAACAGTCACAACCTAGCTAAGCTGAATACAACCCTACATGGCATGAACTACTACAAGAGTTCTTGATTGGAACGACCCATATCCACTGCTTTGCGAAATAAGACTCCACTTCAGCATTTTCAAGTGATGTCATACTAAATATTTATTTTTATATAAATTAGCTGTTCATATAATTTATCTATCAATCTTTAAGAGCGATTGTTAAACCTCTGAAAAATAGGAGACATGCCATATTGAAATTTTGTAAAAAAGTGATACAAGTAATAAACAGATTCCCTGCTATGGAAATAATGAATGTCAGTGATAAAAACTAATTGAGTATGGATAGTAAACTTTCAAATACAAGATAAAGTCACCAGTTTTCTGCAAACAAAAACAAATTAAGTCAGAAATATATTTTTTTTATGTGTAAATAAGGAAGATATACAAGAAGAAACTATGCTGATAAATTGTGAACAAGTCAAAGAAAATGGAGTCCCAAATTTTTGTAAAGGTGGTTATTAGAGATTATGGCAGAACCTGATTTGTGCAGTTTGGTCAATATTAATGGTGCAGCTATTTAAATGTGCTACACTCAGGTACACATGGCTAAAAATAGTTAACATATGAAATGATAACAAAATCCACATGGTAATTGGAGCACAGGAGGACATCACAGACAGCAATTCAAGCAGTGCAAGACCAACACTATAAAGTGTCCTCTCTTCATTATTCCTGTCTTTATATGGAAAATTACATTCCTTAAATAAGATATTGTACCCTAGAAATATTTTATTATTTATCTTCAGTAAGCCAGTGTCAGCAGGTGACCTGACAATTATAATGTAGATTAACACTGCAACGTGTTTTTAAGATGCCCCAGTATTACAATGAGCGTTGGTAGGGAGCACAAACAATCTACCTATCTCTACCTACCTATATCTCAACCAAATCAAACCACATTTCTGGAAATAGTAACCATCTGCTTACCTAGTTAATCACTATGATAAAGGATACAATGATATTATATCCTAACAAAAATTATACTGCAACCATATAAATGTATCAAAATTAACTCCACAAATAGAATATTGGCAAATGCTTAGAAAAGTAATATATGTCATCCATCAGACATTAAAGGACTGAACAATGCAGAACTCCACTAGTGACACCTCGCCAATCAAGAGACCTCGCTCCTCACAGCGACTCATTGTCTTCTGTTGCTTAGGTACTCCCTTATCCAGTGGAGTATCTTCCCTTTCACTCCTGCCTGCATCTCCAGCTTGTGCATTAAAAGCTTCTCAGTGTGTAGGACCGGTATTGAAAAAAACTGCATAAATCACACAAACCTTTGACTTAAGTAAAAGTGGTCTGGATGAAAGTAGTCATCCAGCTGTACAAATAACCTGTGCAACTTAATATGGACTACTGTATCCAAACATGGAGACCTAGCCTACAAAACAGCATCATCACACTGGAAAAAATTCAGCAAAGAAAAACATAAAAGAAGTAAACTCTCAAAATAGAGCCCGAAGCTCTTGCCTAATTCTGCAAACAAAACATAACAGGCCTGGTCTCATTGGGACTTTAAAAATGCTAAAATTAGAAATAATTATCAAAAGAAGGCAACAACTTAGGGGCCACTATGTAACACGTTACTAGACTTAACTTCAAATGACTTCTTTAAAAGGTCCAGTGTGACTCATACAGGAGGTATACATTTTAACACAAATTGCAATTTAGGATTGAGAACAGAAAGAAGCTTTTCATATATAATTCACTGATATAAGATTTATTAACCTCCTACCCACTGAAGCTGTAAATTCCCAGACAGTGTTACACTTCAAGTGTTCAAATGTCCCACACAGTGTTAAGTGTGCGAGGAACTCAATAAGAAATTCCAGGAGGTTTTCACCTCAGAGCAAAGAGAAGTCCCAGAGATAAGAGAGAGAATATCAAACCAGATACCACTAGAGGAGTTTGTGATTACCAATGGGAAGGTGAGGATGTATCTGCTAGATTTGGACGTGACAAAGGCTATAGGCCCGGATGGAATCTCACCATGGATTCTAAGGAAAGGAGCAGAAGCTCTGTGCCTGCCACTCTCCATGGTGTACAACAAACCACTGGTAACAGGTGAACTGCCAAAAATTTGGAAAACGGCCAATGTAGTCCCAATATACAAGAAGGGTGATAGGCAGGAGGCACTGAACTACAGGCCAGTGTCCCTAACTTGCATTCCATGCAAGATGATGGAGAAGATTGTGCGAAAAAAGGAAGTGGAACATCTGGAATGGAGGAACTTTGTAACACAACATCAGCATGGGTTCAGAGATGGCAAATCATGCATAACAGGTTTAATTGAGTTCTATGACCAGGCAACAAAAATCAGGCAAGAGAGAGAGGGCTGGGCAGACTGCATATTTCTGGACTGCCAGAAAGCTTTTGACACAGTACCACATAAGAGACTAGTGCACAAACTGGAGATGCCGGCAGGAGTGAAAGGGAAAGTACTCCACTGGATAAGGGAATACCTAAGCAACAGGACACAGCGAGTCACTGTGAGGGGTGAGGCCTCGGAGTGGCAGGGAGTCATCAGTGGAGTCCCACAGGGATCAGTCCTTGGACCTATACTGTTTCTGATACAGTATACGTAAATAATCTCACCAGAAGGAATCGATTCGTTCCTCTTGATGTTTGCTGATAATGCAAAAATTATGAGGAGGATTAAGACAGAGGAGGATAGTATGAGACTACAAGAAGACCTAGACAAACTGAAGGAATGGTCCTACAAATGGCTACTAAAGTTCAACCCAAGTAAATGTAAGGTAATGAAACTAGGAAGAGGAACTAGAAGGCCAGTCACTGGATACCGAATGGGAGATGAAGTCCTTCACAAAACGGACAGAGAGAAAGATCTAGGAGTTGATATTACGCCAAACCTGTCTCCTGAAGCCCACATCAAAAGAATAACATCAGCGGCCTATGCGAGGCTGGCTAACATCAAACTGCTTTCAGAAACCTGTGTAAGGAATCCTTCAGAACCTTGTATACCACATATGTAAGGCCAATCCTGGAGTATGCAGCCCCAGTATAGAGCCCATATCTAGTCAAGCACAAGACGAAGCTGAAAAAATTTAGAGGTATGCCGCTAGGCTAGTCCTAGAACTAAGAGGCATGAGTTATGAGGACAGACTACGTGAATTGCACCTCACGTTGCTGGAAGACAGAAGAGCTAGGGGAGACATGATCACCACATACAAAACTCTCTGGTGAATTGACAGGGTGGACAAGGATGGATTATTAAACACGGGTGGCATACGCACAAGGTGACAGGTGGAAGCTGAGTACCCAAATGAGCCACAGACACATTAAAAAGAACTTTTTCAGTGTCAGAGTAGTTAGTAAATGGAATGCACTAGGAAGTGATGTGGTGGAGGCTGACTCCATACACAGTTTCAAATGTAGATATGACAGAGCCCAGTAGGCTCAGGAATCTGTACCCAAGTTGACTGACAGTTGAGAGGCGGGACCAAAGAGCCAGAGCTCAACCCCCGCAAGCACAATTAGGTGAGTACAATTAGGCGAGTACCTCAAAAGAGAACTGGAAAAATACTTTCCATAAACTATCCACAAGCCATCAGCTTTCCGTCCTCATAGAGACAACAACTATTGGTGCCAAAATTGGACCTATAAAAATAGCATGACATTTTGTAACACACTGCTATAGTATTGGAAATCAAAAGGTAGCTAGGCTTGATATAAGCATTTCCCCCTTGGTTATGTTCTTCTGACAAACTGAAAACTGAAAATTAGAATAAAATTTCCTTGGAGATCAAATAACTTCAATCTTTATATAAACACATAACCTACAATTCTATACAGGAAATAAACGACTTACAATCTTTATCCCATTAAGAAATTAAGGCTGTTCCTGCAAATCATATATGTCTTACATATCAGTCATTTCTGAACAGGATATTCGGATAAAACGTGAAACATGCACACTTACACGGGGGGGCGTGCAGGTAAGGTTAGCCCGACACAAGATCAGGAAAGTAGGCCTCGTTGACCGCTGATTTACCGATCGTTACCCACTGACCGCCCCGTCAACCACATAATTACTGTTATACATTACTTCATCTCTGTCTAGTGACAACTACCTCACAAAACATCTCGAACACACGTATATACTCACCTAAATGACTTACGATCATTGGAGGTAGGCATCTGACATTTGTCAACAACAGTATCGCCGCTAGGTATCCCGACAACAAACCAGCGAGACAGCAGAGCATCGCTGGTTGCGGCGCTGACGGGGATTGGTGGTGGGGGAGGCCGTCCAGGGGTGGCAGGAACAGCGGGTACGATCCTCCGCCAGCCACCTCGATCCTAAGGCCGCCTGCCGTCTACCCCACCTCCCGGCTACACATTCACCTTCGATTTCACTCAATTACGGGTAAAATATGGATTGCTGTCACTTGCCAGGCCAAGTTTTGTGTGACACGCTTATATTAACTGATAGATAAATGCATAATTTGATTAAGTTCACTTCCAGCCTGCACGCCCGCCAGCCTCTTTTCCCCCCCCTCTTCCCTCTTACAATAAATTATCCTTATGAATACTGCAAACCTCGAAATTCAGATAAAAATTTATGAAGGAGTACTGTTCCATGTTTATTTATGGGATGGAGACCTGTTAAATACAGAGATATTAGGTAGAATTGTAGAAAGAGACAAAGATATCTGATCACGTTGACCAGACCACACACTAGAATGTGAAGGGACGACGACGTTTCGGTCCGTCCTGGACCATTCTCAAGTCGATGAGAAGTCATTTATCGACTTGAGAATGGTCCAGGACGGACCGAAACGTCGTCGTACCTTCATTTTTAGTGTGTGGTCTGGTCAACATACTTCAGCCACGTTATTGTGACTCATCGCCTGCATATCTTGATCACTGTCCAACTAAAATCCCCGCCCCTTCTCCAGGTCAACCCCCCCCCCGGGGTAATAATCCCCAACCGTTCAAAACAAACAGACACACACGCACACAAACTGCCTACTGGAGTTCAGTAGTGTAAAGTTATCAAAATGGGACTAGGTGACAGGAGACCAAAAGTACAGTACACAATGAAGAAAAGTCCCCATGACGCAGTTTGGCCTGGGTTCGTATATCCTGGCCGGTCAGGAGGATTCTCACCCAGCAGGTAATGGGTACCTGGTTAAACGATTTGGCGGGTCGTATTCCGGGGAAAATTAGGATTGAGGACCTGCCCGAAATGCGTGTTTTACAAAACAAACTTCCTACTTGTGACGATTCGAGAAAGACACCTGAGAGTCGACGTAACACCAAACCAAACTCCTCAAATCAAACGTTTATTGAGGTAAAAGTACATACATATGTAACGTACGATTATGTTACGTTGTTGGGTAGAGTAGATACGCAGTGTTTAGTGGGTTTTCATATTTATTTAGTAGTCTTGGATACAGCAGTGTCGTAGACGTTGAGACGGAGCTTGGAGCAGAGCAGAAAGCTGAGTAAGTCCGGAGTCGTGGAGCTCTGTGTGGGAGAGCGTTGTAGCTCGATGTGGTCCCTGGTCTGCTGTCTGTTCTGTGTCGAAACTGTAGCGTCTTGGGGTCGATTAGAGCTGCATACGCCGAGTGCTACATTCTTGACTGTGGAAAGTGTACTGTGTCTATTCGATTTATTGATTGAATGATTGGTAAAGATTAAGCCACGCAAAAGGTGGCACGGGCATGAATAGCCCGTAAGTGGTGGCCCTTTTGAGTCATTACCAGTATCAATAGCTGATAATGGAGATCTGTGAAGGTGCGACTGCACCCTGCGTGACGAGAGATGTCTCCCGTGTGTGTCTATTCTCAAATCGCTTGCTTATATACGGTGACTACACCTCACAATAAGATAGGAGGGTGGATCAAGAACCGATTCCTATAAATAGGGATAGGATTATAGCTTGTGTAGTTAGTGCTAATTAGTTATGCCATTAAGATGATGAGATAATGGAGCAAGTATAAGTTTACTCGCTACATATACAAGATGAGTTACAAACATAAACTTAGATTTCTTGAAAGAGCTACAGTACATACAATGCCTAAAGCCACTAATACGCACAGCGTTTCGGGCAAGGTGTGGGAAGAAATACTTAGACTAAAACTTAATACTAATTGAGATCAAAACATAAACTTAGTTGAAAAAAGGAGGATAAAAAAATGGTGGACATCAGCAGTTACACAAGTTGGTCAACAAACAATATTGTGTGAAAATAGCAAGACATGGGTTGAGATTTAAAAGGGGTAATTAAGGTAGGTTACATTGAGTTTATTAGGTATACTTAGTTTTTCTCTTAAACTGGCTGAGAGAGGAGTACAGCCTTTGACGTGATTGGGAAGGTCATTCCACATTCTGGGTCCCTTGATTTGCAAAGCATCTAGTCTGTTTGGTTTCTGATGTAGATGCTCTGTTGAGCATCTATATCTAGTTTGGTTAAGTCGCACTCTTGGAATATCAAAAAAGTATTTGTTTCTGGTGTGGTGCCCATGGGTTCTGTTACAACCTTCTAGGAAGAGTTTAAGGTCAAGATTGGCATTACAGTTCAGAGTTTGAAACCTATAGATTACACTTGAGAGAATGTGCAGTGACTTAATATCTAACATATTCGAAGATTTAAGTAAGGGTCCTGAGGCTCATATATAAATAGGATAACGACAGCAGCGTACTTTACACTGGCAAAAGTTAGATCATCATTCAAAAACATCAGGAAGGGGGGGGGGGAAGCATGTAGAGCACTTTACACTGCCTACGTGAGACTAGTCTAGCTTAGAGCGGAAATTCGCTGGCGGGTCGCTAGAGGGAGCAGAAGTGCTCAGGTGTTGCTCCCCATGCAGTTAATTAACCACTCAAGCGTGGAGTCGGTGGTTGGGTATCGGTCCAGTGACCTACAAGTAGGGTACATTTTTGCTGTACGATGGGGTCATCCATGCCTCCTCTTAAGCGGACGTCTACGGCAGGACTCAAGTTTTCGACGCAAGTTGACCATACAGCACTTGGGATTGTGCTCGTGGAGGTGCTCTATGTGAAGATGACAGACCTGGTGGGCGTACAGATTATTCGAGACCGCCGTGTGGTGGTGAAATTTGTTCACCCATATGTGTTCCGGAAGTTCCTTAATCGCTGTGAGGGTTGCTCGTTCCCTATGCCCGAAACGCTATGCATGCTAGTGGTTTTACAAGAATGTAATTTCAACTTAAACTCTATGTTCTCTGTTAATCCCCAGTGTACCTTTTTGTATATAAATAAATAAATAAATAAATGGTGCTGGTACGGTACGAGTGGTCAACTTCAGTGTGACATTAACATACGTTGTGTGGTGCACCGTTTTAAATGACGGATGGGCTGTTAAGCAGTCTGTTTGGGAAGGTGTTAAGCGTGAGGACGAATAAAGTTTACACACAGAAATCACAATTGTGTGATGCATCAAATGAACAAATCCACAAGGGCCGTGACGAGGATTTGAACCTGCGTCCAAGAGCATCCCAGACGCTGCCTTAATCGACTGAGCTACGGCATGGTCAAAAGGAGTTGAAACCGAAGTTCTGCTGAACTTACTGGATCCTGCAGCCTCTCCGAGGCACAAACCAGGGTTTTACACAACTCCCCCATGCATTCGAGCTATGTCAATAGGTCGTTCTCCCTCTTCGCCCTTACTTCATTACACACAGAAATCACAATTGTGGAATAAAGTTTCCACTGGTTATTGTAAGGGGATGCTTGCTGGCACAAAGACGCTGCTGATGTCCCTGACGCTGGATATACCGTCTTCGCTTTCCCTGATGGGGTTTACGCTCCGATGTATGCATTCCGGTCAACCCCATACCTGTTATCGGTGTGGTCTACAGGGTCATCTAGAGGCAGCTTGCACCATGAAGGCGGCTGTTCGTGTCAATTTCTTTCAGGATGATGATTTTCCGCCCCTCCACACCCTAGAGGATTCTGTGGAGGTGTTGGCTGGTGATGTTGTCCCGAATTCTCGCCTGCCTGACGTTGCGCCTTTCTGTGCGATTGTTCCGGTGGTTTGCACGGAGCCGGTGGAGCGCCCTGTACAACCGGGGGCTGCCGACCGGTCAGTGTATATAGATGAGGCTCCGACTATGGGGCTTTGTGTGGTGCCGTCTGTGCCGATGGAGATTCACAATGAGCCGCCTGCTGTGGTGGTGGTGGTACCGGTTCCCCAGGAGACGTCCCAGTCTGCCTTGGAGAACAGTTCTGGTGCACTTGCTCTGAACGTGGGGGGAAGGGGTGTTCCCCCCCCCCTCGTATTGGGAGGCGTTTCCAGCTGCCTCTCCGATGAAGGGTGTGCATCCCTCTCGCCGCCTACAGGACACGTTGCGTTCGAGTACTGAGCTGTTTCCTCGGCAGAAACACTCGAAGAGCACTACCAGGTTGCGGTCTCTTGGTGGTACGGACACTTTGGAGCCTATGGAGGACGAGGGGGAGTGGATAATGAGGTGATTGTGGAGGAGCAGGGGCATGATGAAGCGGCCCTCTCTAATCTATATAAATAAAAATGGAAATGTTCATTTGTTCAAAATAGCTAATCTCGGAAAGTTCTTCACCGATTGCTTTGAAATTTTCACACAACATTCCATTCGCATCAGAGAGGGTTTTTATATACATACTATATAGATGTCACGTCTGTGACGGGAAAAAACATGTTTTTTTTTTATTTTTTTCATGTGTTTTTCATGTGAAGGAAATCTTCTAAACCTCTTTACCAATTGCTTTGAAATTTTGACACAACGTTGCATTCGAATAGGTGCGTGTTTTTATATTCCTACTATATACATGCCTCACCTGTGACAGGGAAAAAAATGGTTTTTTTTTTAAAGCAACGGCGGGAGAGATACATAATAATTTACACGTGGAAAATAATTGAGGGGGCTGGTCCCAAACCTGCACACAGAAATAACATCACATGAGACCAGAAGACATGGCAGGATGTGCAGAATACCCCCGTTGAAAAGCAGAGGTGCAACAGGTACTCTGAGAGAGAACTCTATCAACATCAGAGGCCCGAGACTGTTCAACACGCTTCCACTACACATTAGGGGCATCACACACAGAGATCACACTAACGTGATGCATCAAATGAACAAATCCACAAGGGCCGTGACGAGGATTCGAACCTGCGTCCGGGAGCATCCCAGACACTGCCTTAATCGACTGAGCTACGACAGGGTTAAAAAAGGTTGAAACCGAAGTTCTACTGAAC